TTTATATTTTGTTCTTTTATTTTTTTTAACTTTGTTTGAAAAGTTTTGTTATTTTAAATTTTTAAGATTTATTTAAATTTTTTTACCTATATTCTTATGCAATGATTATAAATGAATTTTAATTAATTAGTTATTCATTTTTATCTATTTTTTCTTCTCTCTGGATATTAAATCTTAGGTACTCTTAAATTCTTAATAAATATTGATGATAAAAAATTAATGTTCAAGTTATAAACATGTATTGTAACCCATATTTAATTATGAAAAAAATTGTCTTTGAAACGCAATTGTGTAGTCTCAATTAAAAAAAAAGGTTAAAAGTATAAATAGAAACATTTTAGTTAAAATATGGTAATATACTGTATCAATTAAAAATTTGTTAATTAATGTGAAAAAAAATCTTAAATAACTAAATATAAAGAATAGAAATATGAAAATATTAAGATTTTAGTAGTTTATAAAGGATTAAAAAAAATTAGTTCCTAAAAATTGTAACTTTTCATAGGTTTTGCTTTTTAATTTTTATAAATAAGTTCTTTAAAAATATTTTTTTGATTTTCACATGGTCTTTTTTTCTTCGTAGGTTATTAATTTTTTTTGTTACTTGCCTACATGATATATAATTTGACTTTTATAATCTAACATAGAAGTGATATAAATAATAAAGTGACATCTATAATTTCATTGTTGACATCTCAAATTTTGATATACAAAAAACTTTAAAATTTACATGAATTTTAGCTTAATACATAAATGAACACAAGACATCATTTGTTAAAGGAAAGTTAAACAAAGTGATGAACCATGAATCAATAGTATAAATAAGACATTGAATGCTCATATCTATTATAGTTCACATAAACTTTATTGTTGACAAAAAAAAAAAATGGGATATTTACATAGAATAAAAAAATTATTCTTCTTTCGTAAAGATAAAAATAACTTTTTAATTATTCTACATGCTAAATACATTATTGGCAAAGAAATTAAATGTTCATAAATCACTTTTATGAAATCGTTGTTCTTATTAAAATACTTTTTAAGAAAGAATACTTTGAATATATTTGATGTTCACCAGAATATATAACACTTTACAAAGGAGACATCCACCATACCATGTAAAATGCAGATGTTATTGGTAAGCATTCGTTCTAAAAATTTATCGTAAAATTCTTTTGTTATCATTAAATTTTCTTTAAAATATTTAAATAACTTTTTGTATCTTTGTGAGATTGTAGCTTGAATAGGCTTTTAGTATAATACTGAGAATTAAGTATGTAAAGGCTTATACAATAAGACCTAAAGAGTGAAATATTTTGAGTTGTAAAAGTATGTTAAAGTAAAATTATTAACAGTTGTAAGGCATAGCTTTGGAATTATAAGATGAACCAATTCATTCTTCTTAGAATTCCTATTTATTCATTTTCACCATAAAAACATATCTTGCATTGAAACTTAGTTTCATTTTGTAAACATCTTTACTTTGTTGAGTATACCATCTACAGTGTAAAATTGACAATTATTAATAAAATTTAATTTGTAAAAATTTTAAAAAAAAACTTGATTCAACTTTCTTTCTTCGTAATTTTTTACTTTCACTTTCATCTTTATCTCTTATATATTTTAAAATCTCAATTTAGAAAAAAAAATTGTTATTATAACTTAAAATTTCATTTGGAAATATGAAAGATGTAATATTATTAAGACATAATTTTTTCATGTTATATCCCAATCAAATTATGTAAGGTAACTCAAATGTTATGAAGATAAATAACAAAATAAGTTAACAAATCACTAATAATAAAGTTAAATAAAAAAAAACAATGTTTGAAAAACTAAATTTAAAAAGTTATGAACTTTTAAAGATAAAAATCTTATTTAAGTATTTAGTCAATTGTTATTACTCTATAATTTATTAAAAAACAAACAAATAAAAAAACAATTGATTGATTCATAATTTAAATACAATACTTTATTAGACTTTATGTTGAACTTTGAGTCAAAATTTTAAAATCAGATAAAAATAACGTGATTTAAAAAAATGCTAATTTTTTAGGATTTTTTTTGCTATATTCAATATTTGATCATATTATAAGGAAAACATTACTTTTTTCTCTAAAATTGAAAGGAAAAAAATTATTTTTTCTGTAGACTTTATTACTCTTCTTTTTTATTTCGTTTTTCACTTAGTAGGATTTTATAATGTAATTTATTTACAATTTTACTAACATCAATTTGAAAACTAATTTAAACATATAAATGCAATATATTTTTAAATATATATATATATATATATTATTAGAAAAAATATAACAAATATTTATTGCTTTTTTATTCTTTTAATATTAAGAAAATATTATTATTAAAATAATAATATTTTTAAACAATTTTTTTATCAAAAACATTTTTTATATCATCACAAATTTCATACTGAAGAATTTCTTGTCATGTGACCTCTAGTTTCACACTTTACAGAAGAATTTTGTATATTAGAGAAATAAAATTTAGGAGATCATGATTTAATTTTTTAAAAAAATTAATAGTACTTGAACTTTGTCTTACGACAGTGATTTTATAACATTGTATAAGCAAGTTGTTTGGGGCCCACGAGGGTACATGGCAAGGAATGGGTGCACTAGTAAAACATTCATTTGATGTTTCTTTCTTTTCCAAGATAATAGACCCATCTCAGCCCGTAATCTCTCTTCTTATCATTTTAGTTTCTACCCAATCATGATACAAGTTGTGGAAATCTTTCCCGTATGTTAAGAGAAAGGGAGGTACTCCTATTTTTTTTTTTTAAGAGTTCATTTTAAAAAATATTAAAAAATAAATAAGTCAATATTTATTTTAAAAAATATTTTTTAAATAATTTAATTAATCATATAATTTAATATTAATATTATTAAAATATAATATTATGGGCACTAAAAATATAATTAAACTTATTTTTTCAATCGTTATACATAAAGTTGTACACATTATTTCTTGTTTATCTTATCTTATTTTTTGTTTTTATCTTTAACGTAATCAAATAATATTATAAATATTTTGTATTATTTTAATTTAGCTTATTTTAAAAAATTCTTTATTTTTATTTACATTTAATTTTAAAAATTACATATTTATTTATCAAAAAACAATTAATTATACTAATTAAGAATATACATTTTTTAACTAAAAAAATTGAAATGAGAGTGCTTCAAGGAAACGTAAGTTATACTATTGTAATAAACATTAATTTCATCTCTTAAAAAAATTATTAATTTTATGTAAATTTAATAGCTATCTCAATTTGTTTGTCATGATATTAATAAGGTAATTACAATTTTTTTATTTTTTAATAATTCTAATTGTGGCATTCATGGCTCGCTGAGACTAAATTACATCTCCTAAAAAGTAAAGTGACTTATATGTTTATAATATGTAAATGATTAATATTTTTCTTAGAAGTAAAATGGTGTTAGATATTTTGTAAGATAAAATTGAATTATGAGTTCAAATCATAGAGGCTAAATATATGAAAAGCCCAACAAAACTTCACTGTTTGGAAAAAAATTTTGAGAAATAATTTTAAGTTTCAATTCAAATTCTAGTTCTTTTTTATATGGTACTCTAATTGGATTAGACTTGTCCCAATTGTTAACTTAGTTGATTTTGTTCACATCTCATATCAAAATTCCAAGTTAGCGAGTTATTTGTTCATGACGTTTGAAAATTGGATTAACTTCTTACCTATATTCTTCAACACATTAAAGCTCATATACACTAGCTTCCTAGGCTAACAAATAGAAATATTGAAGACCAATAATTTTGGAAAAGTACAAAAGAAACTTATTTTGCAAATGTAGCTTATGCTTGGCTTAGTTATTTGAGATTCAACTCTTTACCAATTTCAGGTTTTTATTAGGTCCAAAAGTTACTAGTAATTAAGAAAGTTAGATCTTTCATTTGACTAATATTTTGTATCATCATTGTAGATTTACTTCTTCAAGCTCATATTCCTATGTGTTCTCATAAGTTTGAAGACATTAACTATTGTATTAGATATTGTTGATAATTACTCTAAAGAAGTTTGGTTTTACTTAGAGTGTCATTTACCTATTATAATTTTCAAGACCTTACTACCACTTAGATTGTTGCCTTAGCATGACACATAAATTCTATTTCCTATTTATCAATTCTTTGGTAGCTTTGACGTTAGAGGAATAATATATTCTTTGCGAAGAGAAATGAAGTGTCTATCTTATCAAGATTTCATTAGTTAATTTAAAAAGGATTATTTTTTACTAATTTCAAATAAATTAACTCTCAAATTTACTTATTTTTGAGATCTTTTGAATACTTCAAAATTAATGTAAATGATAGCTATAAAATAAACCATATGAACTAGTGGTGTTATATGAGATGTAATAATAAATGACTAACAAATATTATTTTCTTATGATAATAAATTTGCTTTTTGTATTGAGTTGAAAGTAATCTTCTTAGATCTCCACTTAGTAATATTTAAAAAAAATTTACAGTGTAATTTTAAAATTTGATTATTTAAGAGTGATGAATCTTGTTAAAAAGAAATCAAAATATGTTTAGTGTATTTTATTATATAAAATATTCATTATCTCATGTAAAACTTTTCTCATGTATTTATCATTTGTGAGGTTAATATAATAATTAATAAACTAGTTTATTAGACATTTTTGTTTAAAAATCTCTTTTATCCTCTAAATTATTCTTCAAACAGTATTTTTAAAATTTTTAATTTTAAATTAATTACATATTTTATAGTTTGTCTTTTTATATATATTTTTCCTCTGAAAATAAAGAATATACTTTTTCTAACTAAAAAAAATTAAAATGAGAGTGCTATGACAGAGTGTAGGTGGTACATTAATTTCATGATATTTTTTAGAAAAAGTAAAATATGGTCATACTGTGCAGAGAGAAGGACTTTGAAGCAGAAGAAACATAGAATTTACAGAGAGAATGGTCAAACATTACCGGTGGCGCCGGTGAGTGGTTGATAAACCTCTCTCTAACCTTCTTTCTTTACCTTTCTCTCTCTTGCTTGGTCTTCGCGTTCTGCGGAGCTTGTTGGTTTCTCTGACCTTTAACCTTTACACCCTCTGATCCAAACAAAAATCTCAACTTTCTTCAGCAATTCAGCTCTATAATTTCTGGGCAGTGCCTTTGTGATATGGAGGTGACTTCTCTTGCTTTTTTCTCTCTCCTCGTTGTCATTGCTTTTGGTCCTTGTTTTGTGTGTCTCTTGCTGCTGAGAAAATTTGAGGCAAAGGGTAGGGAATCAGAGTATCAATCTCTTGCATTATGATGTAAATGTAGTCTTTTATGTTAATTTTTTTATTTTCTCTTCATCTTCTGAAGCTCTGATACAGTTGACCAAAATTTGATTCTTTTTTAGGTTTGCATATAAATCAACTACTAGTAACTCGTTTTCCTGCTTATTGGGACCGTGGGGCAATTCATTTAGAATATTGGGATATATGATTTTCTTAGTCTGTGGTCGAATGTGGAAACTAGTCTCATAAATCAGTCTCCTTTAAAACTTTAACTAAGCTTGGTGCAATGGATTTCTTTTGTTTTCATGGATTTTGGATTTAGTAATATGATATCCAAGGTCTATTTGGAGAAATAGTAATTCTTCAATATAAATTATGGTTGAATTATCATAGACAAAATAAGAGCTATGTGAGCGGTATAAAGTATGCTCTTCTGCTGTTCCTATGTTTGAGGAAAACCTTCTATGAGCTGTAAATTGTTCGCATTTGAAAGTAGCATAGGTTGGTGATGCACATGCAATTGATAATAAAAACTTCACAGCATCCAACTGCAAAAGATAACGCTGCTATTTTAGAAATGTGTTATGCTATTGGGCAGATGACCTATATCATGTTGGATTTGATCTTTGAATATTTTGGGAATCCAAATTATATATATATATATATATATATATATAAAAGGCTATAATAACCGATATTTCTCATTATTTGCTTTAGTGGTGTTATATATATATATATAACAAAGGAAAACATGTGCCCCAACTGGTGGCTTCTTCCACTTTCCATCAAAGTTTGCTTTAATTAAGTATTATTTTGATATGCTTTACGCAGATTAATTTACCTACAATTAAATCCTATGCATTCAACTCTAGATAAACCTACTTTCAGCTGTTATAAATGTATTTGGCCTTCTAAAGGAAAAAGGAGAATATAATTCTTTATTTAAAACAAAGAGGTGCCTTTGAGCTTGTCATTCGCTGGAAGATTACTTATATTTTCAGTTTTTCCAAACAGAAATCTCTTAGAGATGCAACTGTATTCGATGGAATTGGAAATCATCCTTCTTTAGCAGTTCTATCATTTTATATGAAAGTGAAATAAATCCTTGTATACTATATAGTATATATTGTTGGGTCCACAATTTTTTACCGCACCATTTGATAGAGTAAATCACCCAAAAAAGAACAAATGACAAGTAGTATCTGTAATGTATCAATCTCACTTGAATGGAAAAATTTAATAGTGACTGAATACAGAAACAAATGGGGAAGGTGAAACAGAAAAACATGAGAATATCCAATAAGTTTTCTTGTAGTTGTTTAAGTGTGTAATTGGCTATTAATAAAGCCAAAACTTTTGAGTGTATTGGTTTTCTAATAAGAAAATTATTTCTAAGTATTCATATTTGTCATAACAACCATATTTCGACTAAGCAATTTATTTTAATTGCCAACATCTCTTGCCCAAGCCTCAGGCCTAATTCTTACTACAATTCTTCCCGGCTGTTGTTTCCTTCTCTCTCTTATAAGTAACTTCCCAGAATGCATACCCCTTATGGGCCCCCATTGTCTTGCCTACTCAGCATAACTAACTCTCCCCCATATCCTTTGCCATGTGGCACCTTGTCACCTCTCCTAGAATATACCTTCCAAGCTGTGTCGTCTCTGTTTACCCACTGGTCTAGTAACACCACCTTATTTCCTGAGTCAGTACACACTGGTCTCATTATCATTTCTCTATTGAAATAACCTTTTAAGATGTTGAATCTCCTGAAGTGGTCAAATTCATTCCTAATTGCAATGAAAGCAAAGGAGCAACATGTTTTCTTTCCTTTCTCTGTTATTTCTCCATTGATAATTCTGATCTGATACTGGAATGATGTTTATTAACATTCAAAACTTGTATCAATTACTTAATCGCATCTTTTCAATTTGTTGATTTGACAGCAACGTTCTCATTTTCCAAAGTTTGGAAATTGGGAGAGTGGAGAGAATGTTCCTTATACAGCTTATTTTGACAAAGCCCGGAAAGGTCTACCTGGTTCAAAGATGATTAATCCAAATGATCCTGAGGAAAATTCAGATCTAGTTTCTTCTGCTGACATACCCCTTTCAAAACCCAGAATTGATTCAGAGGATCCATCTGCAAAGGGATCAGGGAGATCAACACATGAGTTACAAAAGAGTAGGGAGGATAGTGATCCCAAACAGTTTATTGACTCTCCGGCTCGTCATGACAATGCAAGCAACAGGAGTGGCAGTGATTATGCCCATCGGCATGGAGTAGCTTCTGCTGACAACCGTAGAAGACCTTCAAGACAAAGTACTGGGTCTGAATACAGCATTGACCGCTCACCCCTTCATCACCAGGCAAAAGCCCCTGGCAGAGATAGTCCTTCTTGGGAAGGAAAGAATTCATATGACAGCAGCCATGGAACACCAGGAAGGTCCCGACTAAGACCACTTAACCGAGGGGATGAAACTGTTAGTTTCCTTTTCTACTGTCCTGTTTTATTACCTTGCGTAGCGTGAAATAATAAAATCATATGAATATATATTGCCTCAATGATTAATCAGTGTGCAAATTTCTAAGGTTTCTGATTTTAGCATTCTGATTTGGCAGCCTGATAAAGGTGCTGCTGTTCCGAAATTTGGTGAGTGGGATGAGAGTAACCCTGCATCAGCTGATGGCTATACTCACATTTTCAACAAAGTGCGTGAGGAGAAACAGGTTGGGACCGGACATGTGCCAGGCACACCAAATGGGAGACAATATCTTGTTGGGAACCAACCTGCCAATGACAAAGCTCAGGTATTCCTTCTACACCTGTTTAATATTTAGTCAGTAGATATGTAACTTCGGAGTTTTCATCATACTGATGTTTCATTGACTGTGTTTTTATTCTTGCTTCTCCAGAGTTGCTGTTTCTGCTGGGGGAAAAAATGATTTATTTGCAGTGTGAATTATATTCTGAATAGGAAAGAAGATAAGAATAGCGTTGTGAATGGTCATGAGCTTTGTGTAGCACATGTAAATATTCAAGGCTCTCTCTTCCCAGAAACATCATTGACACACGTTTGTCTTAAATTTGTACCCTTTTTTTTTCCCTTTTCGTATCTTTATTTTGGTCAGTAGAGATGCTTTGCATGCAGGATTGTGATTTGTCCTTTTTAATCTTTTGTTATGTAACCGCCACTCTTTATTATTCAATTTATCTGTATTTAGCTGGGATATACAAGATTTGTTATGTAATTCTTTTATAATGAATTAATGGGTTGTGATTGGGTCCTATTGCGCTGATCTGTTGATCTCTTGTAGCTTAGCTCAATGATTCTATTCAATAACAAACAGTTTAGAAATAGATTTGTTCTTTCTCTGAGCAAGTTATGGTGGTTCTTAAAAGAGTTCATGTTCTGGTTGAAATTTGCCAATTATTGTTGACCTTTATGCCCGTGCCATCCCTCTTTGCACCTTTTTATTCATAGATCATATGTGAAATTATACTCTTTATTTTAAGCAATATTGTGAAATTCGGTAGGCTGAACATGTATTTCATATTTTCTAGGTATTTATTTCAGCAATTCCTCTCTCTCTCTCTCTCTCTCTCACACACACACACACACTCACATACAGGCACACAAATAAAAAGGTTGCATTTAGATTGCTATTGCCCATTGCAAAGATTAAGGGCTGCTTGTTAATTTTAGTAAAATTGATTTTGATAGAATTAGTTTTAAACTGTTTAGCATTAGTGAGATGTGTGTCTAAATTAATTTTGTCACAGTAAGAAGAATTGATTGTGTGTTTGCAGATGAAATGGAACTTTTACTCATGTAATTATAACATAAGTGAATCCATTGATTGCACTAGAAGTAATTGGTGATAAACTAAGGTATCTGACCACTTATTTAATAAGTTTTTTTTTTTAAACGATGACATGTTGTAAATTTAACAATAAAGCATATTAAGATAATTGAAAACAGTTATACTAAGAAGCATACTGAAATAAGTTTAAAATAATTTACGAGAATATGGGTAGTCTTACAACGATGCAGTGGCCATCAGGGTTTATCTAGTGCTAACTTCAATCTTTAGACTTTGAATTTAAATAATTAATTAAAATTAAATTAAAAAAATTAACTTTGATCTTTAGAATTGAGTTTAAATAACCAATTGTACTAAGATTTTGTTTTAAAAAAGTATTGGTCATATTTTTATAACCTTAATTCATTAAATATGTTCTTTTTTATTTAAAGTTTACTCATTTTAAATGTTTGAATTTAATTCTAAAGACTAAAGTTAAAAAAATAATTATACTTTTCATTTTTTTAATAAATTAATTTTTATAAAATTTTATTATTTTTAGATACTTAAACTTAATTGATAATACCTATATAAATTTTAGTGACAGAAAAAAAATGTTCAGATTCAATCATAAAGCTTGAAGTTAATAAAATTATTATATTTGAAGTGGTTCTTTTTAACATTTATAAACAAGCTCAAACTATACATGAGCCATCTTCTAGCATGCACAAAACTAAAATTGACAAAAACAAAAAAAAACAAAAAATTATAATTGACCATCAGCAAGTCTTCTAAGAAATAGTTTGTGAATAATGCGAGAAATATTTTATCTTATCAATAGGTAGGTATAGACAATAATCCAATAATTTGTTCTTATTTCAAGTTCTTATAATAAATAGTGCATTAGAAAGAAAACCTAAAGTAGAAAGAGTGTATAATTAGAAGATTAAATTAATGTAAATATTAATTTTTGAAGGAATAAAAATTAGAATATTATAATATAATTTATAAACTTATTTGAGTGTATCTTATTTTCTTTTATAGTCTATAGCTATGCACTCTCTAACAATTCTTATTTTGAAACAATTGTTTGAATCAACTTTTTGAACAATTCTTCATTGTATATCATATGATGTGTGCATCCACTGTCAATTAATTAACTTTCACCATTGTCACTCGTGACAAAGCAAAACAGGTTGCTACATAACTATAAATACGAAGATGAAAAAAGCAAAACCAAGACAAATGAAGGAAGGGGTCCATCCTTAAAACAAAGATAGATGAGGGAAGTTTGTCATCCTCAAAACAGAGACAGACATGTCCACTAAAAATAGAGATAGAGATGGAGATGGGAGAAAATGTTGAATAGAGAAAGGGAGAAGGAAGATAGGTTAGGTGATGTATTTTGATAAGACTATTTTACTCTTAAAAAACTTAAAACAATGTCAGTTTAAGGGGGGCAAGTGGGGAAAGTCAATTTATTTTAAAAGATAAAAAGTCTTTTTACCAATAAAAAAAAGTCTAAAATTGCTTCATTCTAAAGATAAAAAGAAAAAGTCAACATTTTTACTCTAACCCGCAAAAGGCCACAAATTAAGTTGCGATGACGGCCACATCAAAATGCTCTACTATGGCAGGTCTGTGGCAGCCAAAGGTTGCTCTGCCGTGCACCGCAGTACTATTGACAACTATAAAGCAATCAGGTTAAAAATATGGGTCAAGTCAAAACACAAACAAGCTTAAACGGACATGGCAGACTTGTGCGTGCCTACCGATCCTACGATCTTGCATGACAATTCCATGTGATCTTACAAATCTCTGATTTTGCTTGTGAGCTAGCACGGTATGGTGATTCAAGATTGTAGAATCGAACGATTATGTGTCAGCATGCAATTTTGACTACGATCAACCACTTGAGCCTCAATTTGAGGTTGCTTTTGTTCTTGATAATTTTTGCAATATGACCAAGCTAGTTGCAGCTTATATTAGGTCTCTTCCAATATTTGAAGTGAGGATGATAAATTTTTCTTCAGTGCTAACAAGGAAGATGATTTAGTTTCTCATCTTCTCTTTTATTGCCTTTGTTAAAACTTTTTTCTTACTCAAAATTGCTCCCTTGAACCTTCTTTTTCTTTCCTTAGTAGTCATGACTGAATTTTAGTTTGGCCTGTAATGCACCTTCAGTCATGCCTTCCTCCTTCATGAGTCTCCTTTGTTCTTAGGCTTGCAATTGACAAATTTTTTGAATTTTCCAAAGAGGAAAACAATCATGAGAATTTTTTGAACAATTCTAGAATTAGAAAACTCAATTCCAAGAAACCTCACTTTATAGACAATGGTTAAAAGTCTGTCAAAATAGTTTTTCACTATTTATGACTCCTTCATCTACTACATTTGAAATTCCCTAATCAAATTTAGCATTTCCATCCCTTTGACTTTCTCATGTCCTTCATATTTCTACTTGAGAAAATCTCAAATGGCCTTTGCTAACTTCAGAGTCATAATTCTAGTAAAGATTGTCAGAGAAGCAGCAAAAAATAGGCAAGATTTTGTCTTTAATTTTCGTTGTTTTCTTTCCTTATGAAACTTGATTTGATTAACCATTGGATTTTCTAGTAATTGTTCAACCTCATAATTCTCCTCAACAGCCTACCAAAAATCACTTGCATCAAGAAAAGCCTCCATTCTAATTTTTCATAGGTGATAATTCTCACCCTACAAAACTAGTAGTCTTATGGTTGGGTTATCAAATTACATTTATAATTCTCAATGTAAGTGTTTGAGTATTTGGTGGAACTCTCAACCTTACCAAGTCCCTCAAGAACAAATAAACCTCAAATACCAACTTTTGAAAATAAGAGAAATTTAGGAGGCTATTAAATTGAAAGTTAAAACTCACATTTTATTTTATACTAACAACCTTTAAATACAAGAAAGTTATAACCAAAAATTGATTCTAATTCTACCCATTAATCTAGAAATAAATCACAAATAAAATCGTCCATAAATGTGTAACAACCCATTAACATTAATAATTTCTATAATAAAAACTCATAAAGTAGAAATTTTAATGAAATAAACACTAATAATAGATACCAGTTCAGATTTTCAATAGTTACCTGGTATTTCTCAGAGCAATACCATGCTTGTCTGCAACTACTAAAGAGCTTAGCTGCTTTCCAGGTACCACACCAGTCAATAAGTGCAGCTATAATTAAGAAGAGACTCTTAACAAATAGATTTGAAACAAATCCCATTTAATAGAATGTGCATAAATGTACTCCAAAGACCCAAGTCAAACAAAGTGCTAATTCACTTATCTTAATGGGCAAGCAGGCTGCTGGCCATATATTAGATATATGTCTAATAAAAAAACTGTAGAAATAATGTGAAATATCAAAACAATAACAAAATAATGTGACTATGTGAGCATCTTGTTCAGTGTAACTGAATTAAGTGAGATTGAAATGTGACATTGAATTAATTATTTTCCTGACAAAAGCATGGTGCCAATATGAAGCAGTAACAGTCTGACAGAAAGGAGGGTAAAATGTAAGCATTCTAACTCATGCAGGATTCCATGACACTAGTTCTCGGTTCCCAAAATGAGAGAATCATGAGTATAATTTGTAAATCAATAGACACAACTAAGAAGGCCAGCAAATAAAGATACAAACAGAAACAGCATCTATATTCACCCCGCCAAAGCAAAGGAGTACTAGATAATTATGATAACCTGTTTTTCATCCAGGGCAGTTTATGCTAAACAATTAAACATTTATAAAACTTGGGGAGGAAATGAATTTATATTAATTGTCTCAACAAAATTTGTATGATGGGATTATTTCTGCAAAAATGAAACAAAAACATTATGATGATGAGTAAACTAACCTCCAATGCCAGCGGGTTTGTGGCTCTAATCAGATATCAACAATCAAAGGAACTGGAAAAATGGAAAACTTTCTCAGAGTGATCACTGGCCTTCTAGATGGCTTATCTGGATGGCACATGGCCTTTCCATTGTTCGTGCCGATCCCTGAGAAAACATTTCATTGATGGAAGGACACACGAAATCCAACGCCATCCAATGAAATGCTTTTTCCTTCTTAGTTGGTGCGTAAACCTAGCAGTTCAAGGGCTTAGTATAATTTATCACAATCCATGGGTATCACACAAATTATATGCACATCATGTATTAGTATGAGGAATTAAGTTCATACCTGAAGCAGGAATTGTAAAGGTCTCCACAAATGTCACACACAGATGACCTCCCAGATGGTATATTCAGAGGATGAAGCCCTCACAAGAACAGATTATATTATCGTCAGAAATTGAACTTTCATTGAGTAAAGTAAGCCAAAAGCAAATGTAATATTTCAATGAGATGATACAGTACAGTGTTCGGATCCAATTGCAATATGAGACTGGAGTCCCATATTGGAAGTGTGAGATTCTAATGTGGTGTTTAAAGGCTTGGGCTCTCCAACTACAGTGGTTAAATTGTGTGGTATGATTATCCCAAGATTCTTATCATACTGAGTCTCCTCCTGCTTCACTTGGTAAATACTGACAGTAAAGAGACTGTTGATTCTTGGGCTTGTCAACAAACCAAGTAAAAGGTTCAAGTTACAGGATTTCCATTCGTATCGGTGTCCATGTGCTTTGAAATCAAATAGAAATTCAAACATATTAAACAATGACTAACAATATTTAACTTGACCACAAAAGTGAGAGTTTGACAGGCTTGCTGGCGGCTCCATGTGATCAAACATGTCCACATAGAAATCATCAAAGAAGTTATGACTTTGGGAAATAGACCTAAAGAGCAAGGGCCAGAAAAACAGTTTGCAGCAAGATACCTTAGAAAATAGTTGGCCCATCAAAATTTAAATTTAGGACAAAACAAAAATATATCACTCCAAAATCACAAAAGCCTAAACAGATATCGATTTAGCTTTTTATTCATACCTTCAAAATAGGAAATATCACTAACAATGCTTAATTGGTGTATCCATTAGTAGTCATAATGTTCAAACATGGACTTCAACTATATTGTAGAACTTATGACTGCTCTGCACTTGTCCTGGTTAACAAGTTCAATTTTAGGTTGAAAGCGTTGCAGTACTTGAAGATAAAAAGAAACAAAACCAAAAATAGTTCAACATCATATTCAAACATGATAATTGGAATATTGGCAATTGATATATGAAATTTATCCAAGAAGATCTTGCAATTTCAACGTTACATCCAAATTGGAATAAAGCATATGTTTACAATGAAAGTGTCGAGCAAATAAATTTGGGGGAACAAGTAAGAAAATTCAAATGAAGAAGCTATGAATCATATTACAACTGACTAAGAAAAGAGTCAAGTTGGTGCAACATCAACCACTGCACATCACTTATTACTAATCTCAGGCACAGCACTGTAGTTAGAGAAGACACTTTCTAGAAGAACCAGCTCTAATCAGAAACACATCACAGCTTCTCAGTCAACCTGACCATGAAGGAATTCACTGCAGAAGCATCCAGAACAATCCACGACGATTCAAACAACTCATGGAAGAACTCAGCTCCAATCTCCTCAGCAGCAGTCCTAAACGCAATCCCGAATGCATTCCCCTGTGCCCCAGCCAAACGCGGCCTCCCACAAACCCCCACAATCAGCACCTTACCAGGCTCCTGAGACAAGCAAGCACAAAGTAGAGGCTTCATCCTCGCCCCCTTCTCTCTCAAAGCATCCATAAGAAAATAACAAAACTTTGTCAATGCCTGAGGGTACCCTAACAACTTAGCATCACTGGAATCCTCAAGCTTCACCCACCGGAACTTCCTCCCACTCCTTATACTCCCATTCTTAGTAATTGCACTACTCCCTTGCCTCAAAATGGCCCTCTGAATCCTAATAGCATGTTGCATCCCGGTTTTCAGCTTCTCAACATTATTCAAAGAGAGTGAATCATAAGCCACCCCAAACTGCTTAGAAGCACAAGAACCATCCGATTTCACGAAAGACTCAAGCAATGCAGTTACACCATACACCACATCTGCAGCAGAAACCTTGGAACAATATCCATGAATCCTCAAGAAACTTCTGTAATAAAAATCAGTGAGTCCATACTCAGGCAAAAACCTCTCGAACTCGTGCTTCATCTTGCGCTTTACCTCCACATTCATGTACTGAAACTTTTGCTGGCAATCCGCAAGAGCAAACCCCATCCTCGCCAGCAGAAGCTTGAGCTTTTTCATCCCATTCTCGCTCCACGTCTTCAGCTTGGTGGCAATGTACGAAGAGCACAGCATGGAATCGAAAAGGTTCCACTCCTGCAATAGCATGAGCCTAGGTTGATCCTCGTAGGCGATTCGCGACGAATTTGGAGCACGGATTTTGGTACCGTCTTTTAGGGTTACCGAAGTAACCGCATCCAAATTACCCGAACTGTTTATGTGCTGCTCCAGCTCCATTACTCCGTCTTGGTACCTCTCGTCGCTTAACCTCTCGTGCACGAATTGATCTGTTAGTGAAACGCAAGCTAGCCAGAGCAACTCGTTGGTGTTCTTCCTGAGAAAATGTGCCAGTTCATACATCAAACACCCCGAGGGCTTTCCATGGAAGGTTCCCAATCGGTAATAGTCTTTCTTTAGTTTGCGGTATAGTTTAACCGGATCTTCTTCTTCTCCTTTCTCGTTTTTCTTTCTTCTCTTTCTCGATCCATCCATGTTGCCGTCATCGTAATCGGATTCAGAATCGGAGTCCGATTCCGGTTCGGATTCGGATTCAGAGTCGGTAGCGGTGGTGGCGGCGTTGGCGAGGGTGGTGAGGTCAAAGTCGTAGGCGAGATCGGCTTGTTGCTCGTCGTCGTTGGTGAAAAGGATAACGACGGTGTCGTTTTGGTCGCTGAGGTTGCGGAGGTGAATGGGGCGGTGGCTATCGACGACGAAGACGCGGGTTCTGGGTCCGAGGTTGAGGGTTTTGCAAAGGTCCCTGTGGTTACCCCAATTAATCAAAACGATGGAGAGGGGTTCGTCGTTTGAGGCGGAGGAAGTGTACTTGTGGATCTCGTGGAAAGACGACACGGGATAGCAGGCGTATTGAATGGAATCGGATTCGAGGATGTGGAAGATGATTTTGAGGGCGCAGAGAGAGTCAACGTCAGAGGTTGAAGGGAAAATAAGAACGGGAGAGGAGGAAGATGAAATTGCTGATTCACGAAGCTTGGCGTAGAACGAATCCACTCTTTGCTCTCTCATCATGATAATTGAGTGGTGCAACAAGAGGGAATTCCGAGTTTCTCTGTGAGTGAAGGGAGTGTTTGGATTGAGTGGGTCATCAAAATTGCAAGTTGAACAAGGTCAGAATTTTCAGGCTTGGGAAGATTGTGGAAAATTTTGAACTTTTTTCTGCTGTTAACAAAATTCAGGTTTTGAGTTTTAAATTTTCCCTCAAATTTTGAATTTTTTGGGAGCGCCGGGAAAACCTTGGCGCCTTTGTTTTCTGATTTGGATTGGCCATCCCATGTGCATGCCTATCAGCACAAGCCACAAGGGAGGGGGTTGTACAGTAGTGGAATAGGGATGAGGTAAATGGTGTGTGCTCACCGTTGGATGGGGATAGTGTTTGGGATTAACGATTTAGATTTCATCAGATGTTTTTAAGGAATTACTCTCTCTCTCTCTCTCTTCCTGTTCTACGAGAAAAGCATATTTAAGTGTGCATATCGCATTTTTCATATGACCTGAAAAATAGAATTTTTGTATATCCAAGAATTTAAATTTGAGATTTTATTTAAATAATATTAAATTATTTATCATTTAAACTAATTTCTGTTGATAATAGTATTAAATATTAATTTTAAAATTTTATTAATTTTAATTTTTAAGGCTGAAAATAAATAGTTAATAATAATAAAATTTTATTAAAAATATTTATTATATTTTTATAATTTTAATATAATAATTATATTTTTTTATATAAATTTTCTATTAATTATAGTTAAACTTAGTATTAAAGATTGAATTTTGTAAAACTCATGAGAGTTTTAAATTTTTAATTTTACATATTTATGTATATAAAACTAATAAAATATTCATAATTTAAAAAAAAAATATTTTACAGTATTGCACAATATATTTAGTCAGAAGAAATAATATTGTGAGAAAAATATAAATTAATAGAATTTAGATTCAATTCTGTAACTGCACTATTCTATCATGTTATTTTATATTTTTGCTTAAGTTAATAATACACTTTCGTTTAAGAAAAATATGAAATTTTGTCTAACTGCACAAGACCCTAATCCAAATTTTACTTTATTTTTATGGTTTTAAATATTTTTAATTAAATGTCTATGTTTAGTTTACATAAAACTAATAAAAAAAATTATACTTTAATAGAAGCATACATGACGCATGGTAAGTGAGATTTCTTTTTGTCCTATAAGTAAATAAAAATGAATAGATAATTGAAGTTAATTTTATTAAGAAAATAAAGTCTAATTTATTCATTTTTAATACTTTGTTTGAATTTGAGTGTTTAAAAAAATAAAATTTTAAATAAATTATGATCCCTAAAAATATTACATTTTTTTATTTTAGCTTCAATAAAAAAAACTATTTAGTTTTAATTTCCAAAAAAAATTATAGTTTCAGTATTTTATGAGAAATTAAAAGCATGTGTTTTTTGCTAACATGATGACTAAAATTTAATAAAAAAATATAAAAAATATTTAACATATTTATATATATGATATTTTTAAATAATAATTTATATAAACCAAAAATGAAAGAAAGAATGAAAAAATAACGAAAATAATACAACAAAAATAATAATATTTTGAATTGTTTAGATTGAATTAAAGAAGCAAATAAAATAAAATAAATAACATATATTTTTCATCTCTATAAACATTCATATATTTTGTTTTGGTTTTCTAAAAAGATTTTTCTTGTGTTTTAATGCTTTAAAAGTTTTACTTAAAATCTATGTTATTATTTTATGATGACGTAACATGCATAAAACCTAAAGTTAGCAAAACAAACTATCCGATTTATTCAGACTACTTTATGGTAAGGGACACATGCTTTTGCAAGTTGAGCTCAAAAATTTAAATTTATTTTGGACTTCCAAAAGTAATATCCAAAATAAGTATATTTTATTTTATTTTTTACAAGTTCTTATGTTTAACTTGCTTCAATCTTAATTGAATCACGCTAAAATTACTCAAATTTAATTTTAGTTCAAAATTCAAGTTATAAATTTAATTATTTAAGGAGTATCTGATTTGTATTCCACGTGTTTTCATACCAAATTGCATTGGTGAAAAAAAAATGTATTGCATGTGTGCGTGAAATCAGATTACAAAGATATTTTTTTCAATCTTGCACTCTTAAATATCTCAGATAGGAATCTTTGATTAAAGTCAAAATCTCTTAGCCTTTTCTTTCACTGTGGCTTCCTGCTTGAATAATTCAATATCTATGATAATCACCTCATGATCTTCTATATTTTATATTTATTGCATTAAAAATATATATATATAATATAAAAAATATTTTTAATAAAAGTTTGCTATTTTACATATTATATATATTTAAACTCAATCTAAAATTTGAAGTTAACAAAAACATTTTAATTTAGTCATGTGTGTGATAACTCAAGTAATAAATATATTAATATTGTTAATATTAAAAGCAAAATACAATGTTAATGAATTATTATTTATGAACTACAGTAATTATGTGACACATACATATAACATGATGCAGATACAAAAAGCTATTAGAGGACATAACAAATGTTAAAAATAATGGAATATAAATAGAACTTAAACACGCATGGGATATCTAAAATCATTTATAAGATTATGTTTAAACGTGAGTTTTAAAATTAAATTAAAACTTTGACATTAATTTTAGAATATCAGCATTAGTCGAGTGAGCATAATTACTTAGTGATGATATTTATTAGTTATTCTAATACCATACATCTTATTTGAAGGCAATTCCATACTAACCCACTATTATTTTATGTCAAAACAATTGCAAGGATAGTCAAGTTAAATAATTACGATTATTATAATGATGATGTGTCAACTTTATAACTAGTTTAGTCTACATATTTTTTGTAGTTTTAATAAAAACCTTTTGGTATATTTATTTTCTTAGTGTGTTTTTTTTTTATTATTTTGTTGGTGGATCAAAGATCAAATAAATTAGAATTGTCAATTATCAAGAGATAGGAGAAAGTTGGGTTTGACACGTAATAATAAAGACATTTAAGTGTTTTTTTTTTAATTTTGACAAAATTTTTAAAATAAATTAATTGTTATTTTTTTAATATAAGACCCGTTTATTTTGTTTTTTTTTCGTCAATATATTCTTCTATTTAATTATTTTTTTAAAATGAAATATTAAATTATTATTTTGACTTTTTGTTAGACATATATTTGTTTATTCATTTTTTAGGATGCTAAGCGCATAGTTTTTACTAGCCATTTATAACATTTATAATATATTCAATTTTAAATGTTATGTAATGTACGTTGTATCAATTTAATTTGTAAATGTTGTGAATCATTTCTAAATAAATCATGGCAGAAAGGTAATAAGATATGGAAAAATATTTGTTTGATGTCCTTTGGCCTTGAGTGCATGATTTTAGAATATTGTTGATTTTAACTTGGGGACAAAAATTGAATATACTTGAGTATCGAGGGTAGCCTGCAAGCCGAACCTCTAGTACTGGGGTTCTTCAAAGGTAAAGGAAGATTGAGAAAAGTATTTCAAGATGCTTTAACGACCTTTCAAGAGTAGTATTTTTATAAGAGACACTCTAACGCCTAAGGGTATATGGTAGTAAGATGGGTACTTGGGTTAAGGAATTTTCCCTTTACATAAGTATTATTAGTTGCAGTAAATTTGTTGTTATACCAAGGCAAGGTAGCTGTTTAGGTATGGAAGTTCGTTTAGCACTAGTATGGTGTGCATGACACATTTAATAACATTGACACTTTGTTAAGGATGTCAGAATTGTCAAGCATTGAGAGTATGCTCATGTGACATTGGAGCTTGAGGTTGTCTGGTAGTTTATAACCTATATGGTGACGGGGTGCAGTCTATAACCGCAGTCGGTGGTGAATTTGATGGCAGGCTCCCTTTTGCAACTGATCTAGATGAAATAGTGGTAGTATGATGATTTGATTGAGGTAAGATATTTGACTTAGGATTAGGTTCCACTGAAGGTTTATTGAAATTTTACTTTTATAACAGTGACGTTTATTATAACATAATTATTCTTTTTTAATATATTTTTTAACAATTTAAAAGAAAGATATATTCATTTTATCATGACGTGCCTATGAGCTTGTTACTCAAAATTCGAATTCTTTAATAGAACTCATTACAAGTAGTAGTCTTAATGACTACTTATCATTTTTAAACAACCCAAAATCGATTATATCTTAATCAACAAGGCATCGATTATTCCTACTAAAAGAAATACGTAAGTTATAGAGGATGTGATTAAGAATGATAAAAATTATGAAAAACACAGTAAATCAGTACATGGTCATTTCTTTAATTATGTACTTAGTAACCTATTTGATCTCTTTGTTTTAAACAATAGACAATTTAGGAGACATTTAAGAACAAAAAAAATATGGTCTTGATGATGTTGGTAATTAGAAGCATATCACTAGCGGTTTGCAATTCCAAACAGTTGTTGACCAGCCAATTATGGAGCAAGTTCATGACTATAAGAACTTGGTTTCTAACATCCAAAATGAAGGCATGAAAATGTGCAACATACTATAAGAAAATGTCTTGCTTGAGAAATTTTCTCCTTCACAGAGTGAATGTCGAAATTACCTTATGGATAAGGATTCACTTTACAAAAACTCATTGGCTACATGAGGACTAAATAAGTAAATCACCTCAAAATTATTCCACCTTTCTAAACTGCCTCAAAGATAAGTATAACTTCATCATTTTAAACTTGTCTAATGCTAATCTCGTTAAATCTAATAATGTCAAATTTTTCATAAGAACGGTACAACAATAATAATAGAGAGTATAATGTTGGACAACAAAATCAAACTCTCAAGCCAATCCTGTAGAAGATAATGAAATCATTGTTGCAATAATAGTTTAAACTAACCTAGACAACAGCCCTGTTCATTGGGATACAAGAGCTATAAGATTTGAAGAGAATAATGGAAAAGCTAGTCTACATGAAAAACTCTAAAGTTGTCAGGGTT